CGGCAAAAAATCTGGTAAATCCACCTGTAAAATGTGCTCGAAGATTCACGATGCATACCTCGCCTATCCGTGAATGGATGTTGTTCCCTGGGGTAATATTTTTGTCGTATACGAGAGCTCAAAATCTATTTCAATTTTATTGGCAGGAAGGGCTGCCTCGGCGACCGCACTTCCCTTCAAAAATCTTTACTCGTATCAAGCGATCAGTGAACCTACACACGGATATATACTGCATGACACAAAATACGAAATAATATGCGAATAGAAAATTATTTTTCTAATGGTCCTTATTAAATAAATTTCTTATAATTAATTGGATTTGGGGTTCAGGAAACACAGTCTTTTTACAAAATTGCCGACATTACGGAAAAAATTAATTCCTTCTTTAGGTCAATAGAAGGAAAATATTTTAAGACATTAAGTATACATTAATTAAAAATTTACATAACAGAAACGAAGCAAAATTTTGGTTAAGAAATCGAATAAAATCAGCTACTTAAACTAGTCCCCCAATTACGTTATCAAGATACCAATTCCCGTCATATACACACAAAAAACAAAAATAGAAAGATTAGATATATGTTTAAAAAATGTTTTCTCCTTGTTCGATTATCAGAAAGATAGAAACTATAGCAAACTTATCTTTTTACTTGGAAACTGTGGCTAAATAATCCAACGTTACGCACGTCTTCGATACCATTTAGACTACAACTGATAGATATAACAAAACGAGAGACGAACGTTCAGCTATACACTGATTGACGTAAAGGAGAGAGCTATTACTAAGTGATAAAAATCTGAGCTATTTTTTTGATATATTTGATGTTTTGCATTGATTAAGTGTAAAAAATGAAGTGGCATAACAACTGGGAAGAGAAGGCCTTCCAAAATTCTATATGTATGTTATGATCACCAGAGAACGATGTACTTATTTGGTGCACCATTTGACATGATAACGGGTGATTTTTTAAGAGGTATAGGATATGATTTTCAAAAAAAACAAAAAATTTGAAAAAACGATTAAATCTTTATTTGAGTCGATAGTACGGTCGATATAATTTAATGTTTTAATATTATTTCATGTAAATGTTGGCCGCGGCTCGGCTTAAGATGGCCCATGCGCAAGATCCAATTTTGGCACTCTCTCTCCAACATATCGGCCGGTATCTCACGAATAAATGCTTCAATATTGGCTTCCAGTGCGTCAATCGTTGCTGGTTTATCCCTGTAGACATTAGCCTTAACATGGCCCCACAAGAAATAGTCCAACGGCGTTAAATCACACGATCTAGGCGGCCAATTGACGGGCCCCAAACGTGAGATAAACTGTTCTCCGAACTCGCCTCTCAATAGGGCCATTGTTTCGTGTGCGGTGTAAAATGTGGCACCGTCTTGTTGAAACCACATGTCAGCCAAGTCCAGCTCTTCCATTTTGGAGAAAAAAAAGTTTGTTATCATCGCACGGTAGCGCACGCCATTCACAGTTAGGTTCCGGCCATTGTCGTCTTTGAAGAAGTACGACCCGATGATGCCACCAGCCCAGAATCCACACCAAACAGTGCAATGCTTCTGGCTGGTCTTCACTCCAGATGCGGCAATTTTGCTTGTTAACGTACCCATTCAGCCAGAAATGAGCTTCGTCGCTGAACACAATTTTTTGATAAAAATGTGGATCTTCCTCCAACTTTACCAGCACCCATTCACCAAATTGGAAACGCTGTGGGAGGTCGTGTGGCTTCAATTCTTGCACCAGATGTATCTTATAAGGTTTTACATCCAAATCCTGTCGCAAAATTTTCCATGTAGTGGAGTAACAGAGGCCCAATTGCTGCGAACGGCGGCGAATCGACATTTCACGGCCATCACTAACACTGGCGGATACAGCCGCAATATTTTCTTCAGTCCTCACTCTACGTCTGCGTGTTGGTGGTTTAATGTCCAATAATGTAAACTGCGTTCGAAATTTAGTCACAAGCTTCCGAATAGCTCCCTCAGTAGGCCGACCAAATTGCCCATAAATTGGAAGCAGTGCTCGATGCACTCTCTTACCCGAGCATGAATTTTGATAGTAAAATTCAATAATTTGCAAGCGTTGTTCGTTCGTAAGTCGATTCATGGTTAAATTATAGACCAAACTGAACAAGTTTTACAATGACACAAGACACGATTCACGCGTCATCTGTCAAAAACGGTGTTGCCAAAAAGATACTAACAAAAAAATCACCCATTATAAGACTTGTCATCATCCAAAAACGGTGACGTATACGTGTCAGCAGATATGGAGGCAAAAGAAAATGTAAGAATACAGTCGATAGTAACGATAAAACATAGTTGTGAAGCAATATACTACAAAAAAATACATTACATTTAAGCAGTTAAATCCCTATAAAGACAATATTCTAAAAAGCATTCTACAGAATATGGTGAGAAGGTACAAACATATGCAGTGATTTTATCACAAAGAAGAAACATTTGTTCAACTAGTAAAAAGTATTGACATATTTACAAATACAAAAAGTGTAATCGGTAGTATCAGTTAGAGATCAAGAGAACATAGCTAAAAAGTTAGTATAAGAAGAAATGCACATAATAAAAGATAAAAGCAGTGATTATTAAATTACAATGAACATCGGACGAGGAGGAATGATAATTTAGAAGAGGGGCATATATTTAGGCTCTTGATTTAAAATATGAGAACCGCAGGGTAATAGATAGCAGACAAAAAACTCATTAAAAGGCAGGTATGTTAACATATTAAAAAGCTCGTCCAAAGAGTAGAAACATTTGTCAAACAGATACTTCCTTCAATGCTTGTTCTATTAACCACGGTCGTTCGTCCGAATATTCTTTACTGTTGGTGAAATATGCAAGTATATTCTAAAATTTGCTTACAAATCATTTTTATATCATTTAAACCAGAACTCTCACACAGTGGACCCCCGATAATCCGGCCCCTATCTAATCCGGCGCCCCCTGTAATCCGACATGTCTTTGAATATGTATTACATACATACGTATTTGAGAATCTTCGCTAATGTAGATTACGCAGGTTTGAACAGGTTACAACTTGTGCGCGCCACCGCTATCGTGCTCGACGCGTAAGCATTGTTTTACTTAAGTTTGAATTTGACTACTGTGGATAGCGGTACGGCCTAGCGTGCGTTCATTGTTTACTATTTATTCATTGTGTATTAAGTATAGTACCTAGTAATGTCACCACAAACTCAGAAGCGAAAGCACAAAACATTGTCAATTAAAGAAAAATGTGATATTTTAGACCGCTTAAATCGCAATGAAACTTTCAGTAGTTTAGCAAGTGAATACGGCGTAGGCCGATCTACAATTTATGACATTAAAAGAAACCACGAGAAGATCAAAAGTTCGTGTCAACTACTGACTGCGGGCCAGGCAAGAGACAGACACTCAAGAAAGCTGAACATCCAGAAGTGGAAGAAGCTTTGTAGATATGGTTTCTTCAGGAAAGAAATAGGCATGCCCAAATTTCAGGACCCACGTTGGCCATGAAAGCTAAGTCTTTTTATAAGGAAATAACAAAAAAATATGATTTTGTGGCCAGCAAAGGATGGCTAGAAAGTTTTAAAAGTCGTCATGGCATACGTTTAATGACTATTACAGGAGAGAAACTTTCTAACGATGCCACCTGCATAGAGCCCTTTAAATTAAGATTTTTGCAAAAGGTGAACGATTTAAATCTTGACCCGTCACAGGTGTACAATGCAGACGAATCAGGGCTTCTTTGGCGTGCGATGCCTAACAAAACTTTCGTTTCTTGTAACGAAAAATCCGTACCTGAACGAAAAGTAAGAGAAGAGCGTGTAACCATACTACCATGTGCTAAAGCTGCGGGCACACACGCGCTTAAGATGATGGTCATTGGGAAATCTAATAAACCACGGGCATTCAAAAACGTTGATTGACCTGTACACTATTACGGACAAAAAAGTGCATGGATGACAAAAGACCTTTTCAAAAAGTGGTTTGATGAATGCTTCGTACCTGAAGTTAGAAAATGGTTAAAAGATCATAATTTTCCAAATAAAGCGTTGTTGCTTCTTGATAACGCTCCCGGTCATCCGTCTGAAGAAGAACTAACAACCGAGGGTAAATGCATCACTGCGATGTTTCTTCCACCAAATTGCACTGCACTGATTCAACCAATGGACCAGAGTATCATTTAGTTTGTCAAGCAAAACTATAAGAAAAACCTATTTCTAAGAGCCGTATCAAAAGATCAACCAATAGAATTTAATATGAAAGACTTGGTTTTTGCTCTTTGTCAGTCGTGGAATGCGTAACCGTCATCAAATCGTCTTGGAAAAAGTTATGGCCAGATATAGTCACCACTCCTAGCAACGTTCCACAAACCAGTGTTACTTCGGAAGTTATAGAACAAGTCGCTACTGAAACACAGATAAGTCCGGAAGATTTGGAAATCTGGTGCCGTGGAATGGATAAAGAGGAAAATGTTTTTCATGAAATGTTTGACGAAGAGATTATAAAAGAGGTTTCTAATTATACAACAATCAGGAAAATAACGACGACTTGATTGCAACTGCTCCACAAGTCACAGCGTCATAACAACCTTAAACAGAAAAAAAATGATGAATATTTCCAAGCTTTATAATTTGATAAATTCATTAATGATTTTGATTAGTAATTCTATATTATTTTGTACATTTATGCTTAATTTTATAATAAAACGTAAGCTCTCTATTGTTATTTAATTTACTAAATTCGACATACATAAACTATGTATGATTTGTACTTCAAAGTACATACATATACATAACATATATAATCTTACCATTGGATATATTCGTCGCTTGAATGCAGAAGTATTCTAAGTCACAAAATGCAAATTTTACAGGAGAACTATTTTTCGTGTTTGTGTCTTGCCTAACATTTCTGAGATATTTTGGATAAAGAATGTTTTACCGGAAAAAAGTATGACAAGTCAGTGTTGCTGACATTGAACTTACAGTAGTTCTGTAAGTGATAATCTGCTCTTATCATAGTTCTGCAGCGAAATGACGCGCCTCAAGCTATTACGCCAAAATATCGTTCAAGACCAGTGGTGGGGGAACGCTTGCGCAGGGACTTACAATACCTCTGCATGCAATGTAGGTGGCTATGACCTACAATGTCGTGTTAAAACCTGAAAAATGAAGAATTTGGACATACAATAGTTCTGCATTCAGGCGACGAATAATTTGTCGGATTACAAGGTACGCTTTTGTAAAAATTTCCGGACTATAGGCAGTGCTCTATAATTCGACAAATTCGATAGTCCGACACTGCTCTGCATAATGTTTGTCGGATTACCGGAGTTTCACTGTAATGTGAAAAGAATCATGCGTCCATAAAGCAAGCAGTAGTAAGTTTAGCTTTGTACAAAAATTACATGAACCTTCGCACATGTAAGTACACGTTGTCTGAGATAAAACGTACAAAAGGCTGTTCGCCATTTCGAAATGGTACAAAAGAGACAGGAAGTTATTCTTTTTCAGCGCCGTATAATTTTACAAGAACTTGTTTTATGGCTTTGGGCTAGGGCGAGAGGAAGACACTTGGTCTTTTGTCTTGGCGCAGATAATATAAAGGAAGCGGTGTTGTTTCAGTAAATACGACGGGAAATTAAAGAAGGACCTTTTGTTCGGTTATTGTTGATAGACTTGGCTTGGCTTGGCTCGGGCTGGCCGTGGAAGCCAGACAAGTAGGTGTACGCATATTATGTTCTTTGTGGTTTTATAATATCCACAAGGTGTGGGCATCGGGTATCATTCTAAGAACTGTTAGAACAATGGGGAATATATAGTCAGAATGACAGTTATTTGTGCTTCTTGAATTTCATTGACACCAAGAGTTCGGAATGTAGTGTTACGAGGTTCATCTGAAAAGTATGTTTCTGTGTTCTTTCCAGGGTCTGGGAATCGCTAGATACTCATTTGGAAATTTGGTGATATTCCTCATAGCTCGTCTCCACAAACTCGTCTGACATCGGTCTCCCATCCTAACCGTGTCGAACTTTGTACATCCAGAACTGACCTATACGACCGCTCATTTGTACCTAGGGTATTGAGATTATGGAGGCTGTTTCCAGTTCTAGTAACCTTAGATAATTCAAAAATCGGATTTATTCAAACTCCTCGTAGCAATCGCGGTGCCCTGGTATTTAGGCTTTTGCCTTTGCGGCTGCTTCAATATAATAACAACAGTCTACATGTCGTTAGACACAAAATTGCGTAAAAAAATTGTTTCAACCAATTTTTATAAACGAATTCCCAAAACTCAAGACACATTTTTTGGGGTTAATTCTCAACAAAAAAGCTTTTGATAACCTCCTTCCTGAAGTTGGAAGTTTTAATATTAGAAAAAGTGCAAAAAGTGCGATATCACAACCCCCATAAAGCGTATGAAAGAACCAAACATTTTTATGTTGCCGAAGTTCATAGATATTCTTCAAACATCCATTAACAAAATTCTAAAGAGTCTCAGGAGGCACTGTTATTGCGAACATTTCTTTATGAGTTACTAACCAAACGCGCGCTCAATGTGATTCCTGTGACATTCATCTTAGCGCTGTGTGTATCAGTGTTAGATTGAACTTCCTTCAATATTTAAAAAACCTTCAGATTCAGTGTCAGAATCCATGTATGCACACAGAAGAAGAGTGCCCTCGGTTCAAGATTAAATATCTAGGATTGAGGATGGTCACTTTGCAAAGTTGATTCTTATCCTCATTCCGTACGATGCTACATGAAGGAAAACCCCTACGTTACCGGCTCATAACAGCTCGACCACTTGAGCAATCACACAAGGGCTTTCTATTCATATATACACAAATAGACACAATTGAAATGGACCTGTTTGCTCTTCATCTCTGTAACCACGACCAATTGTTCATCTCCCAAGTAGCAAGGTGGTGCTTTGAGCTTTTGGTAAAAGAACTGTTAATCCGTAAAAGCTCTCTTTTGTTATTGCCCGAACACCAAAGTACTGACTTATTGTGTGAAATGCAAATTTGTTTCATTCCGTCATATTTCCTCTACAATGAGGTGTATCAAACATTATTGTAGCATACTTATACAACCTTATAGGACAAATTTAGAGCTCTTTGCACAATGTTTATAGAACTATTTCCTTCGGTAGTCAAAATGGTTATGTTGTGGTATCCATGATAACATTTATATCACAAACCCAAGCGTTGTTGCTTTGATGCGGAAAATTACTACTTTACCCAAAGGAAGTACTTATACAACTGCCATTTAGTAACTATTAAAGGCTATATACCTGCAGCAATATCACAACTTTTATAGGACAAAATTGTGCTTGGCATGGATTTGTTGCTTGATATATAGATAAACAAATTCACCATACAAAGCTGTCATCTTTTTAATAACGTCACTACTTTGTACAATAATCGCAATAAAACTAGCGGCACAAGTCAATCAATAGCCCTATATCACAGTTATCACAGGCTTATCATATAGCTACTTATTTATGTAATTCACAGTGGTCGATATGTCATTGAGTAAGATGATTGTAATGTCTTACCCCTAAAAAATAGTTTAGTTGCAATATTGCACAATGGTTGTATAGTTGACAGAAGTTGAATCTTGCACTGACGCAAAGGTTCTTTAGCGGATGCAAGTGTTTTTAAAATTTTGAAGTTTTTAGTTGTTACCTGCACCTCTTAAACAAGATCTTAAGTGACTGAAGTGTCCTATTATCTAAATATCTTGCAACCCACAATGCTGTGTAAAGAATACTGCATAGATGATCTTGCAACCCTAACAGGAGTGATAATTGTTAGTTGGACTGCCTCCAGGACTACTAGTATACCCCACTGATGAGTTGCTAATTATCACGAACCAGCGATATCAGTAGTTGATCACGGTTATAGAGAAGGATGTCAAATATGCCCATTTCAATACTTATTTGAACTTTGGTTCATTTCTTAAACGTAACAGCTATATTTCTTTACCCTTGAATTAAAAACACTCTTTTTAGGTGTGTGAGAAAGAATATATGCTAAGCTATGCTAGTTGACAGCAGATTTTTTCAATTAACTAAAAGAGCTAGGCCAGCTGAAAGTATATCTCGATACTGAGACCTGGGATGACATATATAGGTCAAGTGATGTACATGAAGCATCTAAATATCTCACCAACGTTATTAAAAAATATATATAAAAGAATAGTAACAAAGTTAAGATAAAACACAACGAAATTCCTAGAAAAAGCTGGGTAACTGATGGGCTAATCACATCAAAATAAATTAAAAAAAAGTGCAGATTATATGAGGCGAATCTTACAGAAACAGCAAGACAAGATTATTTAAACTACAAAAATAAACTTTCCAATTTAATAACTACTACGAAACCAAAATATTATACGGCGATACCACAAAGAAGTAAATCCGATTCTAAAGCGGTATGGAATACCATCAACCAAATCTGTAAATCAAACAAACCAATAACAGGTATTGAACAAATCAAAACTAATAATACTGCAATAAATGCAGATACAGATATTGCTAACGTTTTCAATAACTATTTTGTTCAAGTGGGCGAGAAACTGGCAACTAAAGTAAATAAACCTAACACCAATATTCCATCTAAAGTAATCATACAAAATTCAATCTTTCTTGAACCAGTTACAGAAAATGAAACAGAATATACCATTTACAGCCTAAGAAATAAAAAGAGTCCAGGTTTAGATGGCATACGGTCAGAGGTACTCAAAAAAATTGCACCTGAAATTAGAAAAGCACTAACATTTTTAAAAACTTTGATAATTGAATCTGGGGACCCTTACAAAATAGGAATAATAACACCGATTCATAAATCTGGCGACATATTTAATCCCAGTAACTATAGACCAATAACATTAATATCTAATTTGGCAAAGATAGTTGAAAAAATTATATCATTAGTTCTTTCAACAAAAATAAACTTATACATGAAATTGAATTTCGATTTCAAAAAAATAAATCTACTTGTTCACTTCAAGAATTCATAAATTATTAGAGCAAAGTAAATATGCATTATGCATATTCTCAGAACTAGCAAAAGCGTTCGATACGGTGGATCACTTGCTACTATCAGAAACTTTATACGATGCAGGAATTAGAGGAAACGCTCAAAGCCTTATGGGAAGTTACCTGTTTTACAGAAAGCAATATGTTCAAATAAATGATTCTGTAAGTTCAAAAAAAAACTGTGACTTATAGTGTACCACAAGGGACAGTTTTAGGTCCGTTATTTTTTACTGTGTATATCAACAGCACAGCGATACTTTATTCTAATAATTCCTGTGATAATCTTAAAGAGACTGTTGAAAATGACATTATTTTAATTTCAGATTGATTTAGACACAAATATCTAACAATTAATTTTCAGAAAACCAAGTATATGCCGTTCACAAATCTTAAAAATAAATTACCGTCATTTGCCTCTTTACAAATTAAATGTGACAATACAAGTACATTAAGACATTCAGCTGATAAAATAAAATATTTAGGTGTTCATTTGCATCGTCATTCAAAGTGGAATATCCATGTTGATCATATAGTAACTAGTTTAAGACGATTATCATTTAAATTCAGGTACCTCACTAAATATCTAGACCATGAAACAATGAAGACGTTATATCTTGCACTTATTGAATATCGCCTAAATTATGCCATACTAGCTTGAGGTGGTACTCTCACCAACCAAATTAAGAAGCTAGAAATAGTCCAAAACCAATTTTTGAAAATTATTTTTAAACGGCCAATTCTATATCCCTCTGATATGTTATATTCCGAAGCGAGAGTACTCGACCTTAGGCCACTCTTTTTTTTACAATGTTTTGATCAATTCATTCAAAAATAAAACAAACCTCATTTCATTGGATCACAAATACGAAACAAGAAGTAAAGTAGAGGATATTAAAAGAACACCATTTACGTCAAAGATTCTTCAGTTACCTCTCCACTAGATTTTATAACTTTTTACCAAGCCATATAAAATCCA